TGTGACTGTATTTTCCAAAATGGTGAATAACTCTCAGCAAAGTTCTGAACAAAAAATATTAAATATCTTCAGCAAAGATGAAATGGTTTATAATACCATATTATATTTATTTAATAGCATTTAACTTTGAAGTTAAAAGAATCTTAAAACTACATTTATTTAAATCAACAATGTTAGGGAAAAAGTTATTTTCAATGAACAAATCATGGGATTTGTTTTCTTTTCTGGTTTGTTTTTATTATAGTCCAAATAAAAAGAGTCAGAATTAATGTCCTTAAAAGAAAAGTAATCAGGTAGGTGTGGTGACTCATGCCTATAATCCTAGCACTTTGGGAGGCTGAGGCAGGAGGATCACTTGAGGCCATGAGTTTGAGACCAGCATGAGCAAAAGTGAGACCCCCTGTCTCCACAAACTATAGAACAATTAGTGGTGGCGCATGCCTGTAGTCCCAGCTAACAGGGAGGCTGAGGCAGGAGGATGCCTTGAGTAGGAGTTTGAGGTTACAGTGAACTATGATGATGCCCCTGCACTCTAGTCCTGGGTCACAGAGTGAGACCCTGCCTCAAAAAAAAAAGAAAAAGCGTTGGCACACAAGAGTTCACCTTCGTGGAATCAATAAAAAAAAAATCATTGCAAAATACACTGAGCTTCTTGGTATCTAAATAGATAAGGATGTAAATGTTTAACTAGTACTTGAAGTTTATCTTATTTTATTTTTTAATTAATGAGCAATGTAATATTTTCCAAACAAATGCTGCTTCTAACTCACTCTTTAAATTGTATCAAAGATTTTCATTTAACCTTTTTTGCTTTTAGTCTAAATTCTGACTTTCTGATTAAATGTTTCAAACATGGAACATGATGGGGCAGAACATCTGGCTTCTTGGCTGCGTGACCTATTTCATAACACTGGTGGGGCCCTTTACCTTGGAGTTTTGGATTTCTTTGTCTTTAGAAGTGTTAGATTAGGTCTTTAAGGCTCTCTCTTCAGCTCAAAGTCTATTCTGTGTTTACATCTCTAATTCATATGTTAATAATAAGTATAAAACATATGTATTATTTTTCAATACTGAGAATTAGCTGACTTTTTCAGCTCAATGAAAGAAACCTCTTTTTAAACATTTGCTATTAAGCTGATTTAAATAGCCTGATCCCCAGCTTGGTGAGCTGAATCTTCCTGGTCCTCTTCCATCCTTCTGGTGTGTTCTGTTCTCTTTCTCTTACCTGGTCTACAGGCACACAGTGTCTCTGGCCACAGTCCCCAGCTCCCAAGGTCATCTGAGAGGCTCTCCTCCAGGTGTTATGCTCCATCCTGAGAAATGGTGCATCTCCTCTCTAGCACACAACTTTACAAATTTATCAGGCCCAGGTGACATTCCTTCAGCAGCAACAATTACCAAGGTACCAAGGTGTTAATGGACAATAATGCTTTGAAGTATCCTCTTTCCTTCAACTCAAGCTTCTGGGGCTTTAATCTGAATGGCTGTTACTCTTCTAGGGGTGGAATCTCAGAACCATATCCCCCATAATGGCTACCTGCTCTGCCTCTAATTTCTGCCCAGGGGAATAAAGGCAAGTAGTGACAAGTGTAGAACAGAAATTTCTACCAAAAGCGACTGTAGAGATGGGTGCTGGGAGGCCGCAAAAATCCTGCAAGACAGGCTCTGCCTTCAGTCTGGTTGGGAAGGTAAAGACATTGATAGATAAAGGGAGCTAGAGAGATATGCGAGTTAAATAATGACTGCAGGCAGCCACCAGACTAAGGGGGAGGAGGAGTCCCCTGCAGCCTTCGTGGTCAGGGAGGGTCTCACATGGGAAGGGCAGGGAATGCAGCCAGAATTCTTTGCTGGAGTTCAGCCAAGGGGGAGAGAAAAATAAATAACCCTGGCAGGCACATCCTCGTAGTAGGACCCATATTTTAACTGCACAATTTCTGAGTCTCTGCCTATGGTTCCCACTTCAGACTTAAGTTCAGAACTTCTACTATTCCTCTCTCACTGTCCTTGTGGCCTCGTTTAACTTGGCTCCTGTCAAATCCCTGCCACTCTGGACTTAAGGAGATTACTCTTCTCCAGACATAAATACCTGCTCCAACCTAGTGCGGTGGCAGGAGGAGGGACGAGTTATACATGCTGCCCAGTGTTCTGCCGGGAAGACATCTTTTTAGGGTGAATACGATCTGGAAAAAAAATTTCTCCTGCTGCGTAAAAATTACCAAACACTTATTTCCTCAGTTTCCTTATCAGTTTTCCTCCTTGGCTTTCAGCTTGGATTTTCCTTTTTAATCATTTGAAGCCCAAGTGGCTGTAAGCAATACCAGTGACAAGTCATAACGAGTTAGACAATGAAGGAAGGAATGGAAAGCAAGAGGACTGCATGACCCATAAATTGATTTTCTGGTCACTAAATAAGTGAGAGCTGCCTGTATAAGAAAATCATATACTCTTTCCTTTTTTATACAGTTGCAGCTTTTTTAGATGGTCAAAGTTGCAAGATTTCTGTTCATACCTGTTGCAGGACCATTTCCTGAACTTCTCCCTCCTTATGAAAGGGACTCACACAGTCTTGCCTGATGTGAAACCCCTTGCGGGTTCAGGGTACCTAAGGCACTCAAGAGACATTTGTTGAATGAACTGATGAAATTAATTTAGGTTTTAGATACTTGCCATGAGCACCAGTCTTCATAACTGCAAGTTCTTCAGTCTTTATGGTTTCTGTGTAGTTAATTACTTGAATTATTAATAGTTTTAGAGGCTCAAAAATCTTTGTACTGTATACTCTACCCTTATATATTTCTAGATGGTACAAATAAAGTGCATACAAATAAAGCAGCTCTATTTCTTGGTTGAAAACAAGCAGCTTTCAAGTTCAGGTCTCCCTGTCAAGGCCACACTATGCTGAAAAACAACTGCTAGTAGAGAAACCATAAAATATGATCATGCTCTCTGTACCCATTGCATTTTTCTGATAAGAAAGGAGATAAAACCCAGACATTCTCAGCAGTTTCTTGCATATGAAAACTATTGCCTTAAAGAACACCTTATCTGTGAGTCCAAAGGCATTGCAACATATTTGGGTGTTACACTTAGGTCTTGAGTGTCATACTCCCTCCTGAATTCACCTGCTCCAACTTGCCAAGGCATAATTGGGGATTCCTGGGCTCCGTAAGAGTTCTAAGAGCTGTGCTTGGCTCTGAACACCTACCCAGGACCATGCAGAAACCATTCCTCTCTGAGCCCTTGGGCAGAACAACCTAACATGCAGGAAGATAATCACACTGTACTCTGTGCTGTGGATGAACAACAAAGGAATAAAAGGCAAAGTTCTGCAGGCCATAACAATCTGAGCAAGTGACCTTGGCCTAGGGCAGGTTTGGCCCAGGAGCCCCTTTTGGTGTCTTGCTGTGTACATCTGCAGATGTTGGCAGCTCTGCCTCTGTGCCCACATCTCTTCCTTGCCACTACCAGATAGCGTGGACTTGACTTTCCGCTCAGCTCAGACTTATCTCAGCCAGTTATGTGTGTTGAATGTCTTCCAACTGCTGGCGTTCCAGGAGGCTGACATGTAGAGACTGCCTTAAAGCAGCAGTCCCCAACCTTTTTGACACCAGGGACCGGTTTAGTGGAAGACAGTTTTTCAACAGACGGATGGGGACGAGGGGGTGAGGGGAGGGGGGTGTCGCCCCCTCAGCTCCATCTCAGATCACTAGGCATTGGATTCTCATGGGGAGCGCCCAACCTGGAACCCTCGTATGTGCATTTTGCAGTGGGTTTTGCGCTCCTATGAGGGTCTGATGCGGCTGCTGATTTGACAGGACAGGGCGTGGGCAGCGATGCGAGAGCTATGGGGAGCGGCTGTGGGTGCAGGTGGGACTTCCCTCCTAAAGGGAGGTTGGGGACGGCAGACTTAAAGGACTCCCTGGCAGATGCTTATCACCCAGCTCCCTTCCAGCGGGGTCACTGATGACCTCAGCCCAGGCAGGTGGCCTCTCCTCACATTCCTTCTTTCTTTGGGTCCTAGAAACCTCACTTATGGCCCTTTATGCCTAGGGTTGATAATGGCCCTCCCTGGTGCACTGGCCGCAGGTTACTTCTCCATCCTTTGTGGTTTACCTGCCCACATTTACATAAATGTCCAAATTGAAGTGTGTCATCTGTTTGCAGCTGGGACCCTGACTGATCACTGTGGCCCAATGGAATGTGGTGCCTGCAGCTGTCAGCGCCTGCCCTCTGAGAGCCGTGCGTGGCACACGGGTTGGACTGCCCCTACCTGTGGGCAGTCGCTTCCCCTCTCTGGGTCTCTGTTTCCCTACACTTAACATAAATGTCGTAGACTAAATCATGGCCAAGTCCCTTCTGATTCTAACACGAGATTGTCCCGGAATATCCATTTTGAGCTCCGAGGTTTCCATCTGGATGTGGAGGGCATCACAGGCCTCTGCACTCTGAGTACTGCCGTCCTGTATTTAACGGCAGCGATGAGCAGGTGGGCGGTGCATTCTCCAGCGGCAGCAATGACTGCGGGCGTGGACTCAGCAGCACAGCTCAGACCTGCGCACATGGGGCACATGGGGTCAAGGGCCCGGGATGCGGCAGCTGTGTCCGGGCAGAGCTGGTGGCGGTGCCCGCAAGGCTCCGCGACGGAAGGGACCGGAGGAGGCCGGAGCGCGGGGCTGGAGTCGCGCCCGGCCCACGCAGCGAGCCCGCGGGGGCCCCACAGGCGTTTCCTCCTCTCGGGGTTCCGTCCTCTTGCCAGCAACGGGCGGACGGTAGTCCCTTCGGTCCTGCCGAGAAGCGCCCGGGCAGGGAGGCGCCCGAGGCCCCGGAGGCGCGAGCGCGGCTGGAACCCGGGATCACAGCGGAGGTCGGCGGCGCGCGGCCAGGCGGGGCCCTCGCGATTGGTGGCCAGCCGTCCGCTTCAGCCAATGGGCGGCGAGGGCGTCCCGGGGGCGGGGCGGAGCCGTGCTTTTAAGTCTGCGTGACGTGGTGCCGTTGCCGCGGCGCTCCGTCGACGTCTCGAGACCCGGTTGTCTTCCGCTGCCGTCAGGTACCCGCGCGGGGCTGCGGCTCTGGCCCAGCCGGGGCGCCCCGACGGCGGGTGGCGAGGCAGGCGGGCGCGGGGCGGCCCGGGCCGGGTTCCAGGGAGCGGGTAGAGGGGGCGCGCCGAGCCTCGGCCGGACCCGAGGTTCCGCTTACTCCGGGGGCGGCTCGGACTCGGCGGTCTGGAGTCCCTGGCCGGCACGCGGCCTCGGCGCTCAGGGGCACGGCGCATCCCGGCCGGGCCTGAGCCCCGGGTTCCTGGCGTAGGGCGGCGGGCGGGCAGGAAACGGAGAGAGGCTGTGGATGTGGCACCTCCGCCTGCCAGACCGGGCGGAGCCGGCCGGCCCTCGCCTCACGGCCTGTGGGTGCCCGGCCTCGGCCCCACCCCGGCCCCACCCCAGCGGAGGCCCCACCTCTCGCGCCGCGGGGTTTTCGGGAAGGAGGCCTTTGGGGACACAGCGGGCACCCTCGGGTCCTGGGGTGGGCAAGGAGGGTGCATTCTGGATACAGGGGACTGCGCAGTAAACGGTGACTTTGGTCACGTGCCGGAGGCGCTGATGGAGAATTTGACAGGGGTCCAACTGTCCCGGGCGTCTCCTGGGCCCTGCGGCTAAACCTGCCCATCTCTCCCCTCCCCCAACCCCTGACCTATCACTTTCTCGCCAGCCTTTGTCCGCATAAAAAAATTACACAGCCACGTGCAGGTCAATTAGATGGTGTCGAGATTGGGGCCGACAGGACTTTCAGCATGAAGACCTCATCCTCAGAGTTCTTTACACACATTGCTGAGTATCAGTAACTCCTACTTGAATTCACTGAGCTCTTGTCCTCAGTGACCTGCGGTCTCCTCCCTTTGTCACTCTATACTTAACCTTCTTGGTGTTCCGTTTTACCTCAGATAAATTCAGGGGGAAAAGCAAGAGTGACTTTGAAATGAAGTGGCTTTTCTTTAAGAAATTACCAGTCTCCCAAGTTTCTCAATTCTATATCTCTCCTTCCGGGATCTTAAGAGTTTCTGTAGGAAAACTAATCCTTTCAATTGAACCTGGAACTGTGGTTTAGATTATAATCTATTAGAATCTTATCCATTTGAAATAAACAGTGGACTCCTTTCATTAGAATATCTTGGTTCCGTCTTTAGAGAATCTAGTTCTTTTCTTTTTTTCCCCCCAAATTCATATGTTGAGATAGCTCTTGACTATGAAAAAGATGTAGAATCCCTTTAATAAAAACAAAATTTAAATTAAAAAGCTTATTGTTTGGGGTTTACAGTTTTTCATTGTGTTTAAAATTAGTTTTGCATCTCCTCTCCCAAAGAAAAACCCAGTTTAACTTTAAATAGTAAAACTTCTTAAAAAGGCATTAAAATAGTGATGAATGGACCGAAGTTTGGAGGTGTGTGGAGGGCGAGGTGCAGTTGACCCAATCCTTTTTCAGAGGTAATGCTTAGTTGTTTGCCAATGATGCACTTGAGTTGAATTTCAGCCAGAGTCCTGATTATGTAAAAAAAAAGGCCTGTATTTGTGAATGGTTACGTCAAGAAAAGTAAATATTTGACAAAAATAGCAAACCGAATTTACTCCTCAAGTTGAATATTTTAAGTGGCTTTTGGATGACTTTACACTGATTATTTTTTAAAGTAATTTAAGAAAATGATATTTAATAGTGTAGACTAAACTGTTCAAAATGCAGCCTTTTATGGAAATTCTTGTAGGTATGTGCTGAAGTAGATAGGAATGGTGAAATGGGGGAGGGAGTAATGGTAGCTTCAAGGACTCTGTTAATTATAAGGATCACTTAAAACTTTCAGTGTTAAAATTTCACCTTGTCAGTAGCAATTTGTTCTTATTTCTAGGACCCGAGTGTGGACCTCAGTTAAATGCTGGACAGCAGACTGGAACACATTATTTTGACCTTTGAAGGCCATTAATCTAATGAAGTGAACTCCTGGTGAAAAGATTAGTTATTCCAGTTGAGGTCTGAGTGATCACTGCCTCTTAGCATTAGACTCAACTCGGTTAGGGACAGGTGATTTCGTGATTTCTCTTGGTCACTTGCTACCTTGACTCCCTCAGGAGTCCTAAGTGTATTTAGGATTGACCTCATTCATTTGACAGACAAAGACTGCCAACAGAATGCCGAACCTGGGCTAGGTTCTAGGGATGCAAAGTGAATTGTCAGATAAAATTACTGTCTTTTTATGGAGCTTAGAGTCTAATGGAGGACAGGCATGAAAACAAGTGTCCTGAAATGTTAGGACTGGTGACAAAAGTCTGCAAAGTCTTATGGAGGGACTTATGTGGTAAATTCTATAAGGGAGGGTGAAAAAAAAGCTAATGTGTATAGTATTTATGCATAGAAAAAAAAGTCAATGGTTATCTAATAAGTGTGAAATTGCAGGTAATTTTCTTGTCTGTGTTTTCTAATTTTTTTATCAACAGAAAAATTTTACTCTTTAAGAAAAACCAATTTAAAAAAGAAAACATGGCCCTGTTGATTTTTATATTTCAGAAACTGGCTAGATGCCCTGTGAATTTAAGGGCAGAAGGAAGCTAAACGAGTGGCCATTTTGTGCTAGTTTTCGTACTTTAACATTAACTCACTTAATCCTCAGTAAAGCTTCAACCTCGTTTTACAAATGGGGAACTCGTAGCTCGGAAAGACTGACAAAACTGTCCAGAGATACTCTTTAAGAGCCACATACAGAATTTAAATCCTGGTCTCCAAACTCTGTGGACTTTCCTTTCTGTTCTCTTGGTTTTCCAAACTGTTTTGGAAGAAGAAGTTATTGATGTTGGCTATATTTAAGCCGATCCTTAATTCTGTTCTGGTATTTTCCCATATAGTGCCAAGCACAGTAATTTGAACACAAAAGGTTCTTTAATAGAAGTGTATGTACAGGATTCTGGTACACCATGATGCATCCAACTTCTGACCTTTCTCAGTCGAATTTAAATATCCAGACTTCAGCTTTAAAAACTTTAAGAATGAGAATTAGTAATGTTTTGAATGTTACTAAGTTATAATTATCCTTTAATAAAATTGCCCGAACTCAGCAGATAAATGGATTTTTTGTTCCATTTCTGTTGCGAATTAGCTGAACAAATAACTCTTATATAAAACGAGAATGTTGAATTTACTTAATCTCAAAGGTTCTTTTCACTTGCAGTCTTTCATAATTAAGGTGCTATGCAGAGGGTTTTAGTAATTTTTTAATACCTCATTTTTTTTCTTGGTGAAGTCACAGAGCTGTAGACCTGGATAATGAAATCATCATATAGAATAGTTATTATTTTAAAATTTGACCCTGTTCCCTAGAAACAGATGAACTTTCGGGTGTGATCATAATCAAGGCTGCACTTCCTTTAGGAGTAGCGAAGTCAACCTTTCTTTAACCATACTCTGTTTTCTCAAAGCTTATCAAATCCTTTCTTTTTCTCTTACTTTTGTTTGTTGCCTAAACTTTCTCTTTGTTTAATGTGATGACCCTGGCAGACATCCAGTTTCATTTTCAGTAGCATTTTTTTCTCATTAAAAACATAATTCATGATCATTGTAGAAAATGTGGAAAGTATAGAATAGTAGAAAGATATCCACAATGACCTTTTTGTGCTTTTCCTTATAGTTTTTCCTTAATTTTTTGCATAGTTGAACATCTTGTATATATGATTTTATTTTCTTCACTCAAACATATCCTAAAACATATCTTCATGTCATTAAAATTTTATTTTAAATGGCTGCACTGTTTGTCGTTATGTTGAACCATTCTCATCGAACATCTTTTATGGGTGTTTCTTCACATTCCTATTTCTTTATAAAAGAGCTTGGGAGTGAAATTACTGGTCTGAGTACAAACACATGTAAGACTTTTATTATGGCTCTAATTCTTTTCAGAAAGTTGTTTCAGTGTGGAGTATTGCTTAAGTGATATTGTGAAATATATATTTCCTCTTCAACCCTGTTTCTGCCTTGCAGCTTCTAAAATCCTTAGAATCTCCAAAATGTTGCTTTTTTGTGTGCTAATGAATGACTGGTGGCTGACAGCCCCTAGGCAGCTTCACAATGAGGGCTGATCTCCTGAAAGACCAAGGCAAGACTAGAGGGTTGGGACTTTCAGCCCCATCCCCCACCCTCCCTGGAAGGGTGAGAGACTCAAGGTTAAGTTGATTGCCAGTGGCTTAATCAATATTGCCTAGCTAATGAAACCTCCATAAAAGGCCCCAAAGGACAGGGTTCAGAGGCCTTCCAGATAGGTGACACATGGAGGATCCTAGAGGATGGCACACCCAGGGAGGGCTTGAAAGCTCTGCACCCCTTCCTCCATACCTCTACCTATGCATCTCTTCCACTGTATCTTTTGTAACATCCTTCATAATAAACTGGTAAATGTGTTTCCCTGAGTTCTGGGAGCCACTCCAGCTAATTCATTGAACCCAAAGAGGAGATCATGGGAACCCCACCTTGAAGCCAGTTGGTCAGAAGTTCCTGAGGCCCACACTTGCAACTGGTCGGAAGCGGGGAGGCTATCCTGTGGGTCTGAGCCCTCAATGTGTGGGATCTGACACCATCTCTGTGTAGAATAGTGTCGGTGTCAGAATTGAATTGGAGGACACCCAGCTGGGGCCCACCACAGCATTGCTTGCTTGCTTGATGTGGGGGGGGAAAACCCCATCCATTTGACTATTACGGCAGAGATGACTGGGAATAGACCCACACGCACACAGAAATATTTGCAAAACAGGTTTATATGCCAGCCAGCTCAGAGGGGGATTTTTCCTCCCAAATTGTGAGCACTAGACAAAGAGCACTGCAGTCTTTTATACACTCTGCTTAAGTAGGAGGGGCACGGTTACAACAGGGTTAACTTTAGTGAGGCAGAGTCTTAAGCTACTTTACAGCTTGGTACACTAATTGCTACAGGTGATTTATGAGGGGAACGGTGGCAGGGGAGGAGGGGATCCAGGTAAGGATCACAAGGGAGAAAGCCTGGTAGTGGAAAATTCCATAGTGGAATTTTCCAATTTTCCACTTCATGACCACAGAGATCTTCACTGTTGATTGTTGTGTTGGTGTGAGAGCAGAGGAGAAATGGGATTTCAGATTTTCCACACCCACAGCCTGAGAGTGTTTTATTGCTAATTTGTTAGCAAAAAGTAATGTCCTTTTTTATTTGGTCAAACAGAATTAATTCATACTGAGTAGAGCATAAAGAGCCCAAGAAAGAAGTTATAGATTAATGTTTTAGACTTAGCAATAGTATTTTGGAAAAGTTCTGTTTAGAACAGTTAGACATTTTTGCCAGCAGCCACCTCCAATCTAATGGTTCTATATCACTTTTTTTTGTTTGTTTCTTTGTAGCTACCCCTTTCAGATAAAATCTGGTGAAAGCGTTATGGACCTTCTTAGAAAACTATACCTTTACTTACAGTTCTGCCTTTTATTTCAGGAGATATTGGACCCTCTGAATACTGTCCGATCATCTCTGGATAAAAATCTGTTTTCTAGTGTGAACTGTGGGAAGAAAGGATTGTTGGTAAGTCTTTGGCAAACCAGAATGCTGGATTTTGTTTAGTAATTTTGAATTCTTGAACATACTGGATTTACTGGGTAGCGCCAAGTTGAAAGGGAAGTAAGCCAAGCTCCAAGTATTATGTTTTGCTAATTTGGCAGCTCACATCAAGAGTGCTGTGAGATTATGCATGGTTTGACTTGTCATTGATAGAGTTCTGTTGAAACATGAATGAACTAGTCTTTTAAAAAATAAGTATAGATGTACTACTACGTATGCCTAGTTTTTGGCAACTTTCCCCAATCTTGAATTTATCTTTAAACTTTTTTTTCTCCCAGACATGATTCCCGTGCTTTCTAATTGCCTTTTTATTCTTAGTTTCTTTCATAGCTTACTTTTTATGGCTTATAGTGATGCTTAATGCTAAATTGGACACAAAGAGGTATGTGAAGCCCTGTGGTGGGGGCTGGTTTCAGGGCTGGAGGTGACTGGGAAGTGTTGCCAGGACTGTGAAATATACAAATATGTTGGAGTAAATGCAGGCATGCTCAGTGATGGTTTTGTTACTAACATTCATGCAAGTAACTTACTGTGTTTTGATGTTTTCTAGTTCCCAATTACCTTTTTCTCCTTCAAACAATTGCTTTTATGCTGTAATCTTTTGGGGATAAGTTTTATAGAAACAACCATCTTAGCAGAATAGTTGTTTCTTTTGGGAATTGCTTTTGGAAATTTTTAAAAAAAAATACTTTACATTTATATACTTTTTGGGTATGTTGAACTTAATTGTAAAAGCTCTTCAAAGCTATTATGAATTACAAAACATTTTTTCCCTAGTGTTTTTGCGTTTCACCTTTGTTTATGATAAATTTGACCTATAGAAGTTTTAGATATTTGTGGCTAAATAACAGATTTTACCTTTTATGGTTTCTATCTTTGGTGTTAAGATCTTCCCATCTCCCAAAAGTCGACTTTTTCCCCTCCATACCTGTTCTTTCTCTTTTACCGTGGTCTGCGTTATCTTTGTAGAAACCAAATCTGTAATTGCTTCACTCTCCACAGACAAGGACTAAAGAGTTCTCAGTCCCTGTGTCTCCTACCCTGTGACTGCTCTGGCAGCTGCCTTATTATTTGTTTCCCCTGCGCCTACCCTACAGTTGTAACTGCCCAGTAGCATCATGCTGGGTGGTATTGGACTGGACGGTGGTAGATCCTCAACAGACACTTAGCGCTTGCATCAACTCTGGAGAGACTCTCACCCTTATTGATTGATTGATTGAGATGAAGTCGTACTCTGTTGCCCAGGGTGGCCTCCTGCCTCAGCCTCCCAAGTAGCTGGGACTGCAGGCATGCACTACTGTGTCTGACTCAAGATTCTCACTCTTAATGCCTTCTCTTTTCTTTGGACAGATCTGTGGTTTTCCTGCTTGAAGGACACAATGTTTTCCAAACTGTCACATTTGCAGAAGGTTGTGGTGCTTGGTCGTGGAGTTCATTCTTCAGTGGCTTCTGCTACATCTGTTGCAACTAAAAAAACAGTCCAAGGCCCTCCAACCTCTGAATACATATTTGAAAGGGAATCTAAATATGGTGCACACAATTACCATCCTTTACCGGTAGCCCTGGAGAGAGGAAAAGGTACGTTTCATATTAATCCACTCCCTCCTTTTTTGCTTGAAACCTTTTGTAAAAATCAGTTGCTTTTATATTTTCTCAGTATACATTTTTCCAGATGCATTTGAAGTCCATAGTGCAGATACAGTTAATTCAGCTTTTACTGAGGGTCTAGTGCTGCTGCATCATGTGCTGTGGGGGCTGCAAAGATGAACTCTTTTAGTCTTTTTTTTTTTTTTTGAGACAGAGTCTCACTCTTTTGCCCAGGCTAGAGTGAGTGCCGTGGCGTCAGCCTAGCTCACAGCAACCTCAAACTCCTGGGCTCAAGCGATCCTACTGCCTCAGCCTCCCGAGTAGCTGGGACTACAGGCATGCGCCACCATGCCCGGCTAATTTTTTCTATATATTTTTAGTTGTCCGATTAATTTCTTTCTATTTTTAGTAGAGACGTGGTCTCGCTCTTGCTCAGGCTGGTTTCGAACTCCTGAGCTCAAACAATCCGCCCGCCTCGGCCTCCCAGAGTGCTAGGATTACAGGCGTGAGCCACCACGCCCGGCCTGCAAATATCCTTTTAGTCATGAAATTTTTCCTCACAATTTTAGCATCCATTAATGATTCTTGCTTTAATAAACTATGGTAGTTGCCAAATAGTGATTTAATCTGCAATTTGAAATAACAGCCTTAATGAAATCAAACCAAAGTTTATTACTTAGCTTTATGCCACAAGATGACAATATAGGAGTATTTGTCTTATACAATCATTAGTATGTAATTTATTTGGGCCCAGTACTGTAATATAGATATATCTTCTTCTTTTTTTTTTTTTTTGTAGAGATAGGGTCTTGCTCTGTTGCCCAGGCTGGAGTGCAGTGGCATAATCATAGCTCACTGTAACCTTGAACTCCTGGGCTCAAGCGATCCTCCCGCCTCAGCCTCCCGAGTAGCTGGGACTACAGGTGTGTGACACCATACCTAGCTAATTTTCCCAGACTGGTCTTAAACTCCTGGCCTCAAGCAGTCCTTCTGCCTTGGCCTCCCAAAGCACTGGGTTTACAGGTGTGAGCTACTATGCCCAGCTAGACATACCTTCTTTTGGATAAATGAAAATCTAGGTTTATGTATTACAAATTTGGAAACAATTTATTTTATAAAAATATACTTTACCAACATTTGCAGAGTGTGGACTCTGGGAGTCTGGCTGCTTGGGTTCAAGTCCCTTTCCATGAGTACCAGCTAGGGCTAGTTACTTATCTAAGCTTCAATTTTCTTAACCTCAGTAGAGCAGAGATGGTATCTCTCATCTCTTTTGATGAGATAGGTATGAATGCACCTAATGCGATATGGTATGTAAGAGGTAGGTGTTAACAAGCCCCCCCCAATTCATTTTAATATCGGTAGTCAGTGTTTTTCTTATTGTTATACACATAACAGGTGACATAAAATTTACCATTTTGAGCATTCAATTCAGTGGCATTTTGTACATTCATAATGTTGTGTGACCATCACCTCTATCTAGTTTCAGAACTTTTTCATTACCCTAAAAGGAAACCCATACTCATTAAGCCTTCACTCCCTATTCCCCCTCCTCATAGCCAATGGCAGCCACTAATCTGCTGTCTGGCTTTTTATGAATTTGCCTATTTTGGACATTCACATAAATGGAATTATACAATATGTGGCCTTTTGTGTCTGGATTATTTCTTTTTTTAATTTTTATTTATTTATTTTTGTTTAAAAAGAGGGGTTCTCACTCTTGCTCAGGCTGGTCTTGAACTCCTGAGCTCAAGCAATCCTCCCGCCTCAGCCTTCCAGAGTGCTAGGATTACAGGCATGAGCCACCATACCTGGCCGTGTCTGGCTCCTTGCACTTTTCCTAATGTTTTCAAGGTTCACTCACTGATACAGCAAGCATCAAGACTTCCTTTGTTGTTATGGCTGAATAATATTCCGTTGTATGGAGAGACCACATTTTGTTCACCACTCAGCAATTGATGACATTTGGGTTGTTTCCACTTTTGGGCTATCGTGTATAGTGCTGCTATGAACATTCAGGAATAAGTATCTGAGTCTCTGATTTAAATTCTTTTGGGATATACCTAGGAGTAGCATTGCTGAGTCATATGGCAATTATATGTTGAACTAGTTGAGGAACTGCCCAACTGTTTTCCATAGTGGCAGAATCATTTTGCATTCCCACTAGCAATGGTTCTAATTTCTTCACATCCCTGCCAAAACTTGGGGTTTTGTCTGTTTATTTGTTTTGTTTTGTTTTAATTATAACCATCCTAGGGAGTGTGATAGTATCTCATTGTGGTTTTGATTTGCATTTTCCTAATGACTAGTGATGCAGAGTGTCTTTTCATGTACTTCCTAGCGATTTATATATATCTTCGTTGGAGAAATATCTATTCCAGTCTTTGCCTGTTTTTTAATTGGATTATTTGTCTTTTTATTGTTGTCTTGTAAGAGTTCTGGATACTAGATTTGGAACTAGATACGTGATTTGCAATTATTTTTCTCCCATTCTATTTTTCCCCCATTCTGTGGGTTGTTATAGTTTACTTCTCATGATTTTTGTCTGTTATGTGTAACTTCTCTGGCTTTTAAAATCTAATTTTGGCTCCTAAGTGTTAGAATTAGGAAAAAAGTTTTACTCCAGAGTTTATAACCTTTTTGTGTTATTTTTGTTAAATGTGTATTTTGAAGCTGGACAGATAAAATATAATTCTTAATAATTCCTTATAAACCAAAGTTTATTATGCCTGAGTAAAATAAACCTTAACTATAAATATATGTTAAATAAAGGTTCACATATAAGCATGCAGAGGGCTTGCTAGCACTCCTAATATTTGGACTTTATGTCATATATTAATTTTCTAAAATTATTTTCCTTCCTCATATATTTTAGGTATTTACTTATGGGATGTAGAAGGCAGAAAATATTTTGACTTCCTGAGTTCTTACAGTGCTGTTAACCAAGGGCATTGTCACCCCAAGATTGTGAATGCCCTGAAGAGTCAAGTGGACAAACTGACTTTAACGTCCAGGGCTTTCTATAACAACGTGCTTGGTGAATACGAGGAGTACCTCACTAAACTTTTCAACTACCACAAAGTTCTCCCTATGAATACAGGTAGAGCATGTCCTTGTTTTGGCACATACCCAAGAAAACAATCTTTTTACTTTCTGATAATTCAAAACATTTTTTAAATCTGAAAATGTTCCCCCCGGCAGGAGTAGAGGCTGGAGAGACTGCCTGCAAACTGGCTCGTAAGTGGGGCTATTCCGTGAAGGGAATTCAGAAATACAAAGCAAAGATTGTTTTTGCAGGTATGTGAAATTAAATATTAACTGCTATGATTTATTGATGAAACATTTTTAATATGTTTTCCTGGTATATGATATGTTATTTGCTGAACATTTCATAAA